AGCCAAGATCACACCACTGCACTCCAGCCCAGGCAATAGAGCGAGACTCCATCTCAAAAAAAAAAAAAAGATATATCAGTGTTGTGTAGGCAAAAAGTATGGACACATAGAAATATGGAACAGAATAAAGAATCTAGAAATAGTTTCATGTGAATATAGTCAGTTGATTTTGACAGAAGTATAAAGGCAATTCAATGCAGCTTTTTATATTGGTTTCCTATTGCTACTGTAAAATATTACCATAAACATAGTGGTTATTATAAAACAATACGACTTGATTATTTTACAGTTCTGGCAGTCAGAAACCCAAAAATGGGTCTTACATGGTAAAATCAAGGTATCAGTAGAGACATGTTGTTTCTGGAGGCTCTAGGGGAAAAACTCTTCCTTGCCTTTTCCAGCATCTAGAGGCTGCCTACATTCCTCAGTTCCTGGTTCTTGGCCCCTTTCAGCAAGGACATCACTCCAATCTCTGGTTCTGTCATCACCTCTCCTTCTCTGACTCTGACCCTCCTGCATTTTTCATAAGGACCCTTGTGATTACATTGAGCACACCTGGATGATCTTTACAACCAGTGATGGAACTGAACATCTATATGCAAAAAACAAACAGACCTTGGCCAGGTATGATGACTCATGCCTGTAATCCCAGCACTTTGGGAGGCCAAGACAGGAACATCACTTGAAGCTGGGATTTCAAGACCAGCTTGGGCTACATGGCAAGATAACACCTGCCCAGAAAAGTTTTTTAAATAAAAAATTAGCTGGGTGTGGATGGCACATGCCTGTAGTCCTAGTTACTCAAGAGGCTGAGGCTGGAGTATTGCTTGAGCACAGAAGTTCAAGGCTGCAGTGAACTGTGATCATGCCACTGCACTCCAGCCCAGGCAGTAGAGCAAGACCCTGTCTCTAAAAAATAAACAAATATTGAAAATATTTTAAAAGATATGGGTAAGGAAATGAAAGGCAAACCAAAGACTGGGGAAAATATTTGCAAATCATATGTTTGACAAAGAACTTGTTTCCCGCATATTCAAAGAACTCTCAAAATGCAGAAGGAAGAAAACCTTATTTTTTTAATCACAAAAAATGTGAGCATTCACTTCATCAAATAAGATATACAGATGTCCGAAAAAGCACATCAAGAGATGTTCAACATTACTAGTCATTAGGGAAATACAAGTGAAACTACAATGAAATACTACTACATACCTATTAACAAGACTACTTACGCGCGCGCACACACACACACCCCAAAACTGAGGATACCAAGTGCTGGTGAGGATGTGGAGTAACTGGAACTCTTACACATTGCTGGTGAGAGTGCAAAATAATACAGTCACTTTGGAAAGCAGTTTGACAGTTTGTTTTAAAGTTAAACATACACTTAACAATATGATCTAGTTACCCCACTTCTAGATATTTATACAAATATAATGAAAACATATGTTTGTACAAAAAAAACCTGTATGTGAATGTTTATTGATGCCTTATTCATAATCATCAAAACCTAGAAGCAACCCAAAGATCCCTCAACTGGGGAATGAATTAAAAATGTAAACAAACTATGGTACATTTATACAATAAATGAATACTCAGCAATAAATGAGAGTAAACTATTGTTACATGAAACATTGCAAGTGAATCTCACATGCATTATGTTCAGTGAAAGAAGCCAGACTCAACCACACATTATATGATTTCCTTGATAATGACATTCTGGGAAAGGCAAAACTATAGGAACAGAAACGAGATTAGTAATTGCCAAGAGTTAAGAGTGGAGCAAGTGTTTGACTACAAAGAGGTAGCTAGACTGAAATTTTTTTGAAGGTGGGTGGAGTGATGGAACTATCCTATAACTTACTTATGGCAGTGGTTACAAGACCTCCAGGCACTCATCGAAACTCATAGACTGTCCACCAAAAAATAGTGAAATTTATTAAATGTAAACTTCTAAAACAAATGTTTAAAAAAGAAGAAAAAGGTATATGAGGTCAAATGTCCTGTATGCCTTCATGTTAGAGAATGAGTTCCCCATGTCAGGGATCGGAAGGAAGGAAGGAAGGAAGGAAGGAAGGAAGGAAGGAAGGAAGGAAGGAAGGAGGGAGGGA